CTAATTTTCTGAGATTGTGGATTTGGGGTTTTCATGAGCTGTAAGCCATAATCATCACAGTTATGACACATCATGGCTTGAACTATCTTGCTTTGCATGTAATGAGTCTATCTCATATATTAGGTTCACCTTTTAAGTTGCATTACTGAAATAAATGAACTTTTGCACGATATTCTAATTTTTCGAGTTTCACCTGTAAGTGCTATTGCTATTGCTGCATGCTGAGAGGATTCAGCTTTTATTTCCCCAAAAAATCTTTTCAATGTAATTCCATTTATATAATGGCACAACTGGTGAAAACTACACTTCATTTTTGTAAGCAAGCTTCATCAGGAAGTAAATGTAGCTACTAGATACATTTCAATTTGCTGGCTAGAACCTAAACAACATAGATGTAGCATTCTCCTTCACTGGACAAAACAAGTGACCGTGAGGTAAAATGGGCGGCCTATAAATTTTATAAATAAATAAACAATTTAAAAGTTCTAAAAGGCTGGCACTCACCTACATTTTATAAAACTGTGGAAAGTATTCAGGAAAGAAAATGAAAGGGTGAGAAGGATCAAGGAGGGCAAGAACATCCAAGCAGAAGGCCAAGATGAACCCTCTGTTATCCTCCTCTCTCTAATGAACCCTGAATATATGCTGAAACCCAAGATCTTATTCAATGAGGTAACAAATAGTTTAGCTAAACTGGCTTAATTGATAGAATTTGGAAATCTATATTTGTGATTCTGCAATTCCTTGCTTTGCTGCATTTCTCTTTCCCCAATAATTTCCTATCTTATATCTAGTGATACATTGGTTTAATAGGAAGTTTTAAATTAAAACTGCACATTTATATAACTACCCCTTACTTTTTGGGATTGGCACAAAGTTCACTGAGTTTTGTATTTCTGGGTTTTGAGCAAGAAAATCCAAAGCACTCTCCTTTTTAGATTTAGTTTTTTCCCCTTTACCTGATTTTGTTAATTTCCACAGCCTGACAGCATGCATATACAATTTTTCATCTAATAATAATAAACTTTATTACGGTCATAGACCAGCAATAGCCATCACTTTTTACAATATATTAAATAATAATAATAATAGTAAAAATAGTATTAACATTAATAGTAAATAATAACATCCCTGTTAAGAAAATACATGTTCTCAAAATGTTAGGGTCACTCCCTAGTTTACGTGAGTGGATAGCCGATTAATGTGTGAGTAAATATAATGTTCCAAACATTATTAGAGATATCTCCCGAAAATTGGCACAAATTGACGACTATAGGTCTGTAACCAATTTTTTTCTTGTTGACATTGCCGCAACACAGTATTTTGCCACTGCATGCGTGATAGAAGGATTTGAGTCTTGGAGGAGAAAGCCTACATAAAAATTGTCTGCCCTCCCTGGCAATCTCTCTAATAAGGGGAGAATTTTTCATCTCATGAAATTCTGCATGTAGTACTGAATCAGTCTGATCACATTTTATTTTATTTTTGTAAGGTTAGGTCACTCTCATCAGAGTTTTTCTTTTACTGTGGTTTCTTACAGATTTTTGCCATATGAATTTAGATATCATGTGTTTAATTGGTTCATAATCACTTAAGGTATTTGCCACTACAAAAGCCAATGATTGACACCATAAATATGTAATTCTAACTTCACATATAGGATGTTATATCTACATTAGATCGAACTATTCAGCATATAGATCATGTTGGAATCATGTTAGCACATGGTAAATAGCAACACGTATCATAATGGTATTTTATTAATCTTTTGATATAAATTCAGAAACAGTTTTATAAAATTAGGAAAGATACCTAATGGTCAATTAAAATGATGTACATTGAAATAATACACAAGACCAGATTTAAATAATTTAAATCAGGGCTTTTTTTGTCAGAGAACACCCAGAACGGAGTTCCAGCACCTTTATAATAATAATAATAATAATAATAATAATAATAATAATAATAATAATAATAATAATAATAATAATAATAATAATAATAATAATAATAATAATAATAATAATAATAATAATAATAAAGTTGGAAGGGACCTTGGAGGTCATCGAGTCCAACCCCCTGCTCAGGCAGGAAGCCCTACACCATTTCAGACCAATGGCTGTCCAGTCTCTTCTTAAAAACTTCCAGTGTTGGAGCATTCACCGCTTCTGGAGGCAGGTTGTTCCACTTGTTAATTGTTCTGTCAGGAAGTTTCTAGGGTAGGCAAGGTGGGTTGTATGACGTGTGTGAGTTCCGGCACCTTTTTTTTTTTTTTTTACAAAAAAAGCACTGATTTAAATAATTATGATTAACAAAAAAAGATAAATTATTCCAGCAGATATTTACCAATGTAATGGCTGCATCGTCTTCAGGACCAGCATATTCAAATAAAATCCGATGTCTTTCCATATCTGCAAAATATTCTTTTGCTTCTTTAGCAGTGCTGGTGCCTAAACCTAACTCAATCCGAAAGAAAAAAATCTCTATATTTTAATATATATTTTTCTCTCAATCTATTACAAAGTAATTTAAAAATAACTCAAGAAGACCAACAAAGTACAGCTAAAACAGTTTACTATTAATCCAATAGCGATTATATAAAGATTTCAAAATTTTTAATCCAATTAAAATTAGTATTGCAAATGACAATTTGAAGGCAACTGAAATGAAATTGATTTCAATGTAGTTTAAAGTGTATTTTGAATTAAAAATATTTTTGGAACTTGGAAAAGGAGAAAAGGAGCTCAGTACAAACCTTTATAGTATTTTATTTTCCATGCTTTATGATTCTCCATATGTTTTTTCCATTCATCAAATTCAGGAATACTATAGAAGGAAAGTTCCTGCTTATTTTTACTTGCCTGAAAATAAAGAGAATCTCAATTAAATTTTACTTTAAAGTTTTACTGTGTTTTATAAAAATTATACATGATATTGTTTATGATTATTTCAAGCATGCTGGGTGCCAGCATGACAGACCCCCAACTCATAATGGGTAAATCCTAATAGGGCTCAAAAAGATATTTTACAGGCACATTGGCTTGGCATATATGCCATGCCATTAGAATGAATAATATACACATTTCAAGCTTTTCAAGGACTGGATATAGAATAATTAATTAGGAGCCCTGGTGGCGCAGTGGTTAGAATGCAGTACTGCAGGCTAACTCTGTCCACAGCCTGGAGTTCGATCCATCCTTCCGAGGTTGGTAAAATGACGACTCAGATTGTTGGGGGCAATATGCTGACATTGTAAACCGCTCAGAGAATGCTGTAAAGCACTATGGAGTGGTATATAAGTCTAAGTGCTATTGCTATTAAATTAGGACACTAGAGAAGGTGGAAACAGTGTCAAAGGAAACTTTCCATGATGCTCTGAGAAATTGCCATTTCACATAATAAATGCTGACATTATACTAAGAAATGAAAGCAACAGGTTTATATTAAGTTCAGTAGAGCTTTATTGCTGTGAAGGATTCTGTCCATGCTGTATAATCAAAGCTGCAAACACAAATATTAAATCATGCTATAATGCTTTATGTACAGCATTACTTTTGTTGAAGAAAACAAAATATCCTAGATTTTTTTCTTCTGCAGACACCTTAAATTGAAAAGTACAATAATATGTAATATTTAATATTTAAATTATATAAAATGTAAATTTGTATCTTTTTTTTTACAATTTTTAATTTTTTCTCACACTGGTACTTCCTAATCAAAATGCTGTCTTTAGAATTTTCCATCAGGATGCCAACTAATTTTCTTAAGTCTCTAATCATTCTTAAATATATGGAACATACACTTGAATACTGGAAGAAGAATATAAATGCTTCATTTCAAATACTAAACGAACAGTTTTACCTCTGTTTTACTAGTTATAGCATGTATAATGTTAATTACCTTTACAATTGGAGTAATGAATTCTTCAAGGAAACCATGTTTCAGAAGTGAAGGCCAATTGTGATGAATAAAATTGATTAGCAAACCCTTAATGTGTGATCCATCTTGATCCTGAATAAAAAAGTAAAGATGAATGCATGATTCCATTTTCACTATTTAAAAAAAAATAAATGAAGATTCATTTATGGGTGCTTTGAAAGCAATTTAGAAAACACACAGATAATCTCTAGCTCTGGATAGGATGGCACTACCCCAAACAGACCCAGTGCACAATCTGGGGGTCCTCCTAGACTCACAGCTCCTGCTTGAAGAGCAGGTGGCAGCTGTGGCTAGGAAGGCTCTTGCACACCTTCAGGTAGTGTGCCAGTTGCACCCATTCCTGGACTGGGAGGTGCTGCTCACCATCACCCATGCCATTGTAACCACTCGCTTAGATTACTGCAATGCTCACTACATGGGGCTGCCCTTGAAGAGCATTTGGAAACTTCAAATGGTGCAAAATGCAGCTGCACAGGTAATAAATGATGCCGGTTACACGGCACACATAATACAGTACCACTACTCCGTGAGCTGCGCTGGCTACGGTGTGTTTCCGGGTGCAAGTCAAGGTGCTGTTTGTCACCTTTAAAGCCCTACATGACTCGGAACCAGGTTACCTGAGAGACTGACTTTTTCCAAGAGTACTGTATCTACCTGATCAACTCAATCCAACAGATTGGGCATACTGCAGATCCTGTCAGACAAAGAGTGTTTGACTGGCAGGAACTAGAAGATGGGCTTTCTCTGCTGTAGCCCTTGCCTTATGGAATATTCTCCCCTTGGAAATTAGAATGTCCCCAACCCTGTTGGCCTTTCGCAAGGCTTTAACAACTTGGATATGTACCCAGGACTGGGACTTGAAATGTGTTAGGGGCCCTGTTACTTGGTTTTACTCTTAGTTGATTAATCATCACAACTGATGTTTTTATTTATTTTGTGGATATTTTTACTGTTTTACTTTTTTAAATTGTTTTATAATTTTAGAATTGTAAGCTGCCCAGAGTCACTTGATTGAGTTGGGCTGCTATAGAAATTGAATAAATAAATAAATATACATATACAGCAGTTGACACTACAGGAGTCAAAATTACAATGGCGCAGAATGAAATTATGACGACACTGAATGGACTTACAACATGTACCCACAGTTATGGCTGCTGCAGCACCTCCACAGTCAACCCAATCTGCTCGCCCTTATGACCGACTGCAGGGACGCTGAAGCTGCCCCACACCTGTCTACCTTTCCCCCCATCCTGCCCTGCCCCCATTCCTTGGGCCTCTTTGTCACACAGCTGTGTTCCAAGAGGCCTTGGGCCTGCTTCCCACCCTGCTTGGTCCCACATTATTGGGTCTACCCAGCCCCTTCATGCCTCACTCCACTTACCCTCTTCCAAAGATCACCTTTCCCAAAGAGATTCACCCAATCTGCCATGCAGCCTTCCTATACAGAAGCCACCTGGTGCTATCCCAGGTGCCATTTTTGAAGCAACCAAAATTCTTGCAATCCATGTGAGGCCACATGTGAGCTGGGGAGGTGCTGCAGTGCTGGCCTGTACCAGGCCTCCCAGGGTCTCCCCCATCCACTGTGGCACCCCATGCTCCACTTAACAATCCATGCAATCACTAAGCAGCCACAACAGGGAGAGCCAGGATTGTGATAGTTAAGTGAGGCATTCACATGGCCACCTTGCTGAATGACAACAATGTCTTATGACCATAATTCCAGGCTCAATTGTGGCTGTAAGTAGAGGACTAACTGTATTGTTTCTATTTTCATTCTACAATTCACGTAGAATTGAATGAACATTACAGTTTTAAGTACTTCACCTTTATGTAGGCCCAGAACTCAAGCAACATATACAAAATTATTTAAAAAAAATAAAATATATAATATGAACAATAAAAATACAGTAAGTATAATTGAAAATATATCAGAAAACTGTAATAGCAGAACACCCTAAATAAATCACCTATTAAAAATCTTTAAAAATTGCAGAAACTCTTTAAGAATTATTGGAAAACTTTTCTGCCCAGAATCAATCACTTCAAAAAAAAAATGGAAAGTTGTTTATCCTGTTTATTTTAATAAAAACAATATGAATGTCACCAAGGAACAAAGTAGACAGATTGCCAGAAAAGAGGTCAGCAAACTAAACAAAGTCTGAACAGATAAGCAAATCAGAAGTACACAAAGCAATAGAAAGAATATCAGAAAGGAAAGGATTCTTGGATGGATATTTAATTTTAAAACTTAAACTGACCTGATCAGTCATAATCATAATTTTGCCATATCTTAATGTTTTCAGAGACTCTGGATCTTCATAACTTTTCTTATATTGTAGACCAACTATTTTTATAATGTTATTAATTTCTGCATTTTCCATAATCTGTGTATAAATGTAAAATTGAAACAAGCCACTTTAGTAAGTACATGTATGTACATTAGCTATGCCCTAGATAATTTTTAAAATGGCTTGTCTTACCTGTTTATGAGATGCCTCACGAACATTAAGAATTTTTCCCCTGAGTGGAAATACCCCATATCTATCTCTTCCAATAACACCCAAACCAGAGACAGCTAAAGATTTGGCAGAATCTCCCTCAGTTAAAATTAACGTACAGTCCAAGGAATGTTTGCCACCTGCAAAATTATGAAAAGAGGAACCAAAAAGCAAAGAAAGAGCGCTGAAGCAATCTTTAGCCCAAACCTTAATTCTTAGAGAATAGCACGTTAAGAAAAAAACAGTTTATTAAAAATACAGATACACATACTTGACATGAATTTCTTTTTAAATAGTACACTCCTTAACCATGATGTAACTATGTACCATGTGAATTCACCTATGCTGAAAAATACACATTTTAAGCATGTTCAACTTTGCAAGAATATTTTCCTGAAGTATATGCATGTTTGTAGTCACTAATTAGTGACTTTGGAAGGATGTATTTATAAGAAGTATCCTGAATGACTGTTAGCTCTTACCAGCATCATTAGCATCATCAAGTTTTGGAATGCCTTTAATTTTACTATGTTTCACTGATGAACATTTTTTGTTCAGCTGTATCTGTGCCTTGAATTTCACCCAGTTCAGTATACTTTCTACAATGCCGCAGTTAGAAGCCTATAAAAATTGAATTCACAGTCACGTTTAAAAATAGCAGAGAGAGATTTACATTCAAAATAACCAAATGTACCAAAGCATTAAAATCCACTTTTTTCTTAGAATATATCACAGAAATATGTCAGTCTATTCTTTACACATCTTAATATTTCCTTATTTTCATTCTCATAATGTGTTAACAAACCACACAGTATATTATATAGTACTCAAACAGCCACAATACCTAAGAAGTGAATTGCATGTTATATCCCCAAGGCTAGATAACATTTTACAGGACAGTTAATAAATATCAGTATTTATTAATTAAAAACTAACAATTTAAAATATCAGAACATTACTCTTGTATTACTTTTCAGTTTCTGAAATGTAAACTCCAACATGGATTTTACTTTCCTTAAAGAAATTGACCATTTTACTTTCTCCAAATGATTATGGTTATGAAATAAATATGTAATACTTACTGCTTTAAAAAACCTTTCTGATAATTGACATTTGGACCCAAAACTTTTAGGCTGGAGTGTCATGTTCTCTTTTGTTTGAGAATCAAAAGAAGGGTTTTCAATGAGACAATTAATAAAAACCCATATGTGGTTCTTTACCTGTTCAAAATATATATATATACACAAACAAATGAAAATCAGAAAACAAAGATACTGAAATAATGAACCAATATTTTTTGTGGAATAATTTTAAAACATGAAGATCAACTTGCCTGGAATGGTTTTACTGAAACACCAGCTTTGTTCTTTTTTTTAACCACCTCTATCAATTTTCCAACAATTTGATCTACCACATAATCGACATGCCTACCTCCCTTAAGGTGAAAAAATAAAGTAAGTTTCTGTCATTGCATTTTATGTTTTTATGAATATAAAACTATTTATAAAGATAAAAGTCAAAAGCACATTAATTTCATGTCAAACATTATGCTGTGTATTATTTTAACCACTCTGAAGTATGCAAAGTAACTCACCTTTGTGGTAGCAATACTGTTCACAAAACTAATTTGCTGGAATCCCTTCTCACTTAAAGTAAGACAGACATCCCAGCGTTCATTAGCAAGTTCATGAATAACTTTTAGAGCAAGTCCAGTTTCATCTAACTTGTCCTTTACATAAAGGTCAACGTAACTACGAAAACCATTCACCTAGGATTTAACAAAAATAATCACATTCTGTTTCAAACACATATAATTCCCATTATATAAATATTTTACTAAAGCTCTTACAGGTAGTTTCTTTCCATTAAGCATAACTTTGACTCCTTTACATGCTCCTGCCAAATCATAAACTCTTCTCGTCATAAGGGCTACTATATCTTTATCAAGCTTTTCCATCTTAAACTTAGAAAGATCTGGTTGGAATGTCACACACGTATAGTCATCTCCTTCAAAATGTTTAATCTTAGGGTCTGAAGTCTTCATCATATTATTCATCCAGGTCTTTATTTAAAACAAAAAATAAAGAACAAGCATATGCATTAATAGAAAATTGTCCTGTCCTCTGAGAAAAAAAAACACAGCTGTAAAGAAATGTTTTTCATTCAGTCAGAATTAATTAGATGTTTCTTTTTTCATTTAGTTTCCATATAAACTAAAACATTAAGGGTATGTTGAAGAATATATTTTAATTATTTTATATTTTTCTTTTAAAAAACTAATCCACATGTTCACATTATGTGTAATCGTTAATGCACTAAATACAATGTGACTATTTCCCACATCATCACTAAATTAATTTATGAAATACTGACTGGATACTGAATAAACTGGAAAAAATAATTCAGGCTTCTGAACAACAGTATTTTTGGTACGTTCTCCATTAAGACTAAAAGAACAGACATGTGCTTCTACAATTACATGTATTTGGATAAATTCTATTTTCCTGTTTTTTTAATAAGAGAAATACCCTTATGATCTGAACTTATATACTGTTCTATCATCGCTTTAAAAAAATAACCACATAAGAGGTATGTTAAGAAAGCAAAGGGAAACAATCATACCTGTTTAAAACTATGTTTGTATTCCTTGCAAGCAGTCTCAACTGTAAACTTTGTACTGAATATATTACAAAGTTTTGCACCATAGCCATTACGACCACCTGAAAAGGTAAGGAACATTTAGAAAAGAATACTTCTCAAAATGTTACTGCTTACACTGACTCTTCCCCACTGACACAAACCATGCATCAGCAAATGTTATACAGGTGAAACTCGAAAAATTAGAATATCGTGCAAAAGTTCATTTATTTCAGTAATGCAACTTAAAAGGTGAACCTAATATATGAGATAGACTCATTACATGCAAAGCAAGATAGTTCAAGCCGTGATGTGTCATAACTGTGATGATTATGGCTTACAGCTCATGAAAACCCCAAATCCACAATCTCAGAAA